GCCCACCTCGGCCTCCCAAAGTGCTGGGATTACAGGCATGAGCCACCGCACCTGGCCAACTCTCGACAACTTTCATACCTCTCTCTAAGCCCCTGTTGACTCCTTAGATGAACAAGGAGAGGACCTCCATGTTGCAGGAATTTGAAAAATACATGAAGGGCCCTGGCAGCGGTCTGACCTGTAACAGGAACTAGGTCAGGGCGGCCTCTCTGCTAGTGAGTAGATTCTGCTGATTTTTCAGTCCCATGAAATAATGATTTTTCTCTCTTCTTTTCTAGGTAGTGCCTCACTTTATCCAGATGAAGTATGGCCTGACTAACCCTTGGATTAAGAGACTCTTACCTGTGGTCTTCCTCGGTGAGCAAGAAGGGCTGGAGCCTGCAGTCTGGGCGGGGGCTGTCTTTGTGGTCTGTGAGCCTTCCTTCATCTCCAGAGGCACCTGGCTGCCTTGGCACATTGTGACTGATGACAGGTGGCCTTTGCGGCCCTGCAGGCCCCCAAAGCCCAAATTAGGTCCTTGCTCTGAGAGGTGACACTTTCTGTAAATACCCACATTAATGGCCAAAGAATGAACACAAGACTGGAAACGCAAATTACAGTTTTTTCTTGAGACGGAGTCTCGCTCCGTCACCCAGGCTGGAGTGCAGTGGCGTGACCTCAGCTCACTACAACCTCCGCCTCCTGGGTTTAGACAGTTCTCCTGCCTCAGTCTCCCGAGGAGCTGGGATTACCGGCGTGCGCCACCATGCCCAGCTAATTGGTTTTTTGTATTTTTAGTAGAGATAGGCTTTCACCATGTTGGCCAAGCTGGTCTTGAACGTCCAGCCTCAAGTGATTCGCCTGCTTCAGCTTCCCAAAATGCTGGGGTTACAGGCATGAGCCACCACGCCCGGCCCTACATCTTAAAGATTATCTATATAAACGTTCTACATACATTATTTTACTTAATCCCGACAACAACTTATGGATAGGAAATATTATTATTCCTATTTACAGATGAGGAGACTGAGGCACAGGGAGGTTAAGTAACTTGCCTAGAGTTACACAGCAAGCAAATGGTTAGTATAGGGATTCCAACCCAGTGGGGTGACAGAGATGTTAGCTGAATATTTTGACTCTGCCAGCCTGCAAGTTTACTATGTCATGCTCCAAATTTGAGTTTGGGAATCATAGCAGTTTGAAGAGTTGGCAGACTGATGTCAGTGGTGAAATTGAGGAAATGGTGTTATAGAACCCTTACAGCTTTGGCCGGGCATGGTGGCTCACACCTGTAATCCCAACACTTTGGGAGGCCATTGTGGGCGGA